GAACATTTTTCTAATGTAATTAGAGAAACAGGAGTTTTTGTTTTTTTTTTTTTTTCTCCTGTGATTTCCCTCAAAAGATGGGCTTGTAACGAAAACCTCAGTTCCATTATTACTTCTCATCCATCTTACGTAGGCAGGACTCAGCCAGTCACCCTGCAGTAAGTCGCAAGGATCTCAGGTAGCTGGTTTAGCTCTCCAGGTTGTGGCATAAGTGGACGGCCAGTTTTCCTAGGTCTGCGCACTGACCTGTCCAATGTGTGTGGCGGTGCTCAGCGTGGCCAGCCAGAGACGCGATGTTTCCTTCCAAGCATGACGCACGCTCTCTCTTGTCAACAGTTAAGTTTCTGTACCATCAGAAAATGAAAAAGCTTGCAGCCAACTCAGCAAAATGATACTAGGAAAATGACTGTGGTTTTCTGAACTTCTCCATGTGGCTTACAATAACAGTAATTCAGGAGTTAGCATTAAGAGGAGTATTTGCTTCATTTCTCAGAAAGAACCATTAGAATTACCTCTTCTCCCTGTGGAAGGGTTCGATGGTGATGACATTTAATTGTGAATAAAAAAAAATGCTTATCAGCTGTCTAATAACTTAGCAGCACTGATAGATTGTTCTATTTGTAACTGTAGTTTATTCTGTCTTTTAGGAATTGAAATTATTTTTTCTGTCTGCTGTATAGCACCAGACCAGGCCTTTACTTATATTTAAAACATTTTTATTCTCTCATAGAAAACAATGTTTAAGTGAGAGTAAAGAGGGCACTTGCTAGTGTGCATGAGGTGCTGCATTTCGTCTGCTTTAGAGAAGCAAAACAATCCCAGACCATGTGCCAATTTGATGGTACCTGGAAAGTACATGATAGTGACGTTTTTAATGGTTGTAAAGTCTCCCTAAGAGCATTAAACTTTGATTTCCCTTATAACTCTCTGTAGCTGCATTACTAATTTACCTTCCACCACAAAAAGAAGTCTTCTTTCTTGTCTAGTTTTGTCACCAAGAACTGTTTGGTTCTTCACTAGAGTAGCAAAGTTCTGGTCCAGTGGGTTTGTTGCCTTCAGGTCTTCCTGCTTGCACCTTGGCATCATCTGAGCCTTTCTCTGCTCTCCAAATGCATTACCTTCCCTTCAAGGTGGGCAGGCTTCACTTTTGGTCAGTGTTTGAATGCCCTAACTAAGGACCATTATATAACCTGAAGAGCTTGCTATGTCTGCCTGTACTCGGAGAGCAAAGCCTCTATTTTTCTTCTACTTCCCACATCCCGTGAGCATTCCTTTTATCAGCCCATTCTAACCCATAACTAAAAAATGAAGGGAGTGCTGGGAGGATGTGGTTCCAGTCCTGGAAGAAGTGTTGATGGGGCCAGTTGAGTCTAGACAATCCCCAGCAGGGATGGGGTAGGATTTAAAGAGAATGTACAGACACTATTTAGTACAGTACTGACACACTGAACACACTACATGAAAAGAAAAACCCACAAAGGACATGGCTCTTATGCAGCAGAAACAGAAATACTGGATGAAGACAATACATGGAGACTAGGAGAAAACAGAAGTACATGAAAGTATGAGGCCAGGGTAGAGCTGAGCACTGTGAGACAAGGACAAAATCTAGAGCCAGAATATTGGTAGACATGACCTCCTTACTGGGAGTCATAAAGAACTGCATAGTTTCTGCAGAAAACCATTAATGGATATCACTAGTGTTATTAAACATGGATCCTCAAGTACAAATGGAGAGTTTGTTGGTTTACATACAGTCTTGCATTGGTATCCGTGCGAGTGGGCTTAGTATTTTTATATAGACATAAATTCATGGATGCTCAGATATTTTATATAAAGTAGAGTATTATTTGCATATGAGGTTCACATATCTGCCGCCATGTTTTAAGCCACCTCTAGATTAGTCAGAGCACTTACTACAGTGTTTAAGTGCTAGTTAATGGTGGTTGTATTACTCAGGAAAAAAGCCACGTAGTTTTCTTTTGCAAATATTCTTAGCCTACAGCTGAATCCAAGGTGCAGAGTTCATGGTTGTAATTACAATTGGAGGCCCAACTATAAATAGAAAGCTCAATTTCCTTCAGGTGAGCTAGACACAGACCCCCTCACCTCCTCATAAAAAGCCTTCTGCCCCATAGCTCGGCTGTTCAGCTCTGACTGACGGTGTGTGTGAAGACTCCAAGAGTCAGTTGTGTCCAGCTAAGCCCTATTTATAGCAGCTGGCCCTAGGGGCAAGAAAGGGGACACTTGATCCCTCTTCTTTGGGTCCTTTGGATGAGTCTTGTCCTGCTTAGGCCTAATCATGGTTTACAAATGGGCACGAGGCTCGACTGGGTAGCCTGGATCTCGGAAGGGTCTACTGCGTTAACGACTACTGCCTAACCGAGGTACAAGAATCAGAAGCAGTTTCCAAATGACAAGTCCTGGGGGAACCGGGCTGTGGTACGTTCAGTAAAATGCTTGCCTCCCAGACATGAAGACCAGAATTTGGATACCCAGAACCCACAGACAAAGCCAGCATAATCGCACACACCCGCAGTCCTAATAACGGCAAGATCGGAGGTGGAAATGCACACCTGGAGGCATACAGGCTGGTTACTGTCCTGTGAGATGAAGCTTCATGCCAGTGGACAAAACTGTCTAGAATAAAAGGGAGAAAGTAGCTGAGGACTGACACTGCAGGTTGCTCTTTGACCTCTATATCCGCTTGTACACTTATGCTTGCTCTCATACATGTGCTTGCGTGCACACACACATACACACACACACACACACACACACACACACACATGCAGACAAGTAATCCATTCATGAGGTCATGCTGCCACACCGCACACTGTCAGTTACCCCACAGAGGGAGTGATGGGGTGCTTGCTACCTGCGAGTGTCCTGGAGGGTAGCCTCCCCTTCTTGGGGCATTTCCCCGTCCATGCTGTGGTGGACACGAGCCGCCTCCTGCGCTCTTCTCCTGCGTGGCTCTGTGGAGTCCTCCTGTTTGAATGTGCAGCCCATGTCAATCTCAGTACTTGTTTTGAGTCGCTGTGCTGGCCTCTAATTTGCAATTTACATGGATGATGGGCCCCTATTCAAAATCCTGCTCCTGCAGCCTTTGTGCTGCTCACCTCTCTCCACGCAGTCATTAGGCGGAGCAGCATGTAATTAGGTAACCCATGTAAAGCTGCGCTTTCTGAAAGGTCATGGTTCTTTTCAAAAAGTGTGGGTTTCCATCTTTCCCCCCATTCTTCTCTAGACAAAAGCCATTTCCCCCCTGGTGGCTTTCACATGAATGCAGTAACTCAGAAGCGGTTCATCTTGGAGGTGGATAATAATTTTGGTTTGTTTTCACCTGAGAACTTGTTTTTTTGTTTACACAGCTTGTGTTTAACCTTGTGTAGACTGGAACTGAGTTGCTGTCATTTGTAGATGGGTACATTGCTCGTTGCAGCCAATGGAATTACCCTGTTTAAAGAGTCCCAAACATTTAAAATCTACTCCACAGATTAACTCACTTAGTTTTTATATTTCTTTTACTACTTGTATGCACAAAACTCACCTAAAATTATTAGGTAAGGCAAAGCTTATGAAAATCTAAGTGCCAAAGAAAACAGATGTTCTTTATGAAAATATACTAATTGTGTCTAAGCTGCGTTCCCTTGTCAGACAGGTTCATGACTAAAAGTCTTGGTGTGAAGGCAAGTGAAGGCTTGTGAAAGATCAGGCATCCTACTGAAATAAAGTCACACAGTGCATTGAAATGTCCTAAATGTACTAATGTCGGATCGCTTTTTCTCCTGGTTACTGCCATCGAAAAGAGGGAAATACAGTGGGGACTTGCTTAAACTTTGAGTTAGGTCTCTCTTATCCCCATTCTGTTACAGATGACTGTAAATGCAGTCCAGAGAGGTAGATTTTTAAAAAATAGACCATGTAGTGCCATTGCAAAAGCTTTGCTGGCAATACTAGAAATATGTTGTGTCCTCTGTGCAGCTGTCCAGTGGTCCACAGGTCTGTATTATAGACTGCTGTGTCCTGAAAGCATAAAGACAGATTTTTAAAATGCCCATATATTTTGCACTATAACCTTAGCAGAATATATTCTAATAGAGGAGTTGCCTCTGGTAACTCTGCCAAACAGAACTGTACCTGACAGCCAAGACTGTGGCTCATGACACATTTCACAACATGGAGAAGCAGACGGATGAGGAGATGTTGGCCATCATGCACTGTATTAGTTCTGCTCTGATCTTTCCACCCATTTGTCAGTTGAGGTAATGGAAACACACGATTAAAAAGTGCTTTACATTTGTTAGCACTCGTCAGCTGTTCTCTTCAAAGCTCTCCTTCTCACCCTGTGACTGGTTTATGCCCCGTTTATATTCAGGGGACAAGAGTCCTTAATATAGTTGCTGTTCTTTGGTAGAATTAGACCACAGTAATGACTTAATCTGTTAGGAGATCAGTGTTCTCCCGGCATCTGGGTTCAGTTGGGAAGGAAGAGAGAGGTGTAGCTGCCAGTGTAGAGGGTGGGGTTACACAGCTTCACCCCCTGCCCTCCCCAGGAGAGCAACAGTATCCATTTGTGTGTCAGGGGTTGTCCTGATTCCTGGATGGGTGGGTGGATGGATGGATGGATGGATGTGCGGTGGATGGGACCAAGGATGTTGTGTGTGTGAGAGACCGAAGCATACACACTTCGGTACACAACATATCATAGAGTGCTATATAGAAAAAAAAACCTTTCAGATTGTTCTGTGCCATTTTTGTTCCTCTTTTATTTTGTACATGTATTTTGGACACATCAGTGAGACATGGCATAATGTAAAGAGCTAATATATCAGAGGAAATGAATGATTTGCACAAAAGCCATGAAAAGAGTAACTTAAGTTCAGTGTGTTCTCAAAGCTATCATGGCAAAAATAAATAATTCTATAGAAGTGATGGTATCTAAATGAAACGACTACTTTATTCTTTTTTCCAATCATAGCTGTCTCTTTCATCAGATCTCTTACAGAAAAGATGTGCAGGGCACCCACACATACACAGCAGAGCTTGACAGAGCGGATATCAAGAAGGCAACCCAGATCTCCAGGATCATAAGCAATGTAATCTATCTCTCTTCATCTTGTGCAGATGTGATTTCTTTTTCTTTTGGAGGGAGATGAAGCACGCATTGGTAGTTGGTAGTTGGATGGGTAACACAATTAACATAATCAATTCCTTTGAATTAATGACATCTCAATTTTGCCCTGAATTATCCGTTTGATTATGTAAATTGTTGGGAATATGCATGACGTGCCCATGGCCAGCTCAACTATATCTAGTATTAGCACATTTTTCCAGGAACACACACTGTTGGGCTTATAGTCACATTCAGATGTCTCAGCTTAGAAGCCAGACTGTCAGACTTCCCGTCCCCATTCAGCTCTCACCTTACTCCCATCCGGGGAGCCCTGGGGGCCTCTTCCCATCTGTTGCTGGTGGTTTGCCTATTCTTTCCTACCAACACTTGCTTTGGCACATTTCTGCATGCATGGCTGTGACTTACCTTCTCTTGGATGCTCTTCCAAGTTAATGCCATTTTACGTGAGCACACCAAACATCCTGGTTAAAGTTAACTATTGGGAGAGCATTATCCATGCCCCATAAAAATCAATAAAGAACCAATTCAGCTGCTTGGTAATCAAGTGCCCGTTTTCATGGGTAAAATGATGACTGCTATCTGTATGAAGAATGCAGTCTCAGCTGTCCAAAGAAGGAAGCCCCTATTATTTTTAGAAATAACTGTAAAAATGATAATGACTGGCTACTTAGATTAAAATATGTAATTGTTTACTGCTAAAAGTTGAACTTATGTAAATGGCTATAAAATACACTCCTGCTTTAGCAGTCAATACATTAGTAATTGGTATGTAGTATGAAGCATTTTTAATGGGATAAGGGACTATTATACTTTACTTTGATTAATGTTAATGTAATATAAAGTAGGAATAGTAAAATTTTCTCATTATTCTCTTTAGGTAGAATACAAGAAAGGGCAAGGCATAGTGAATAAAGAGCCTTCTGTGATTGGAAGACCAGATTTTGAACACGCTGTGGAAGCTTCTAAGCTTTCTAGTCAGGTAAGATTTGAGCATGATGATCCTTCAATGGCTTTATTCAGAGGTTTTATTTCAAGGAGCATAGAAAATATTTCATCTTAGATAGTATCTTTAATTGCAAGAATAAACTGAGGTAATGTTTCTGAAGCTGCTTAGCTAGGATTGCAATAATTACAGATTTCAGCAGAGGGGAAAAAAGCCAATTCTCAGAACAAAGCCAGCCTTCTTCCTCCAGGTTCACATCTGTCTCAGTGAATTTGGCCATGTTGTATTTCCAAAGACCGGTAATAGCCAATGCTGAGAGTCATTTTAAAGCACATATATACAAAAATAGACACACCTACGATTTTAACTTACTAATAAAATACTTTCTCAATTCAAAAATGTTTTTCTTAATTAGATAATACAACAGGAAAGATAAAATGCAGAAAACCTTGAAATCTGATTTCAGAATATAAGACCTGAAGAGTCTACAAACATGAAAGTAAATAGATTGAGAGTTTAACAGGTTACATTTTCAGTTTTCCCAGAATTATCATATAAATGTCATTCAATTTCAATGAGAACGCAAAAGGATTTTTAAGAATATGTCCGAAATAATTTTAAAGTTTCTGTGGACAGGGGTTGTCTGAAGACCCTTGAACAATGTGAGAATGGAGATCAGTAAAAGAGAATTAATGGGCAACCATTTGAATAAGTCAGTATATATTGATAGTTAAAATTATCAGTGGGCTAGAAGAGACATTCCTAATATAGATTCCAGCACATTTTAAGAATTTAAAGTATGGCAAAAGTATTGATTCAAGCCAGTGGGGAAAGTTAGGCTAGTTAATAAATGGTGCTAATGTCACTGGCTGCCCATTGTGGTGAAAGAGAATTGGATCTTTATCTTTAACTGTATACAAAATCTCAGGCAGATTAACAATATGAATGCAAGCCAAGTATGATGCTACATTTCTTTAAGCCTAGCACTCAGGAGGCTGAGGCAGAAGGTTTATGTTAGCTGTACTATAGAATGAGACTCCATTCTCAAAGCAAAGTAAAGCCAAAACCAAATAAACCAATGCTACGAACAACTCAAAGACATGAATATAATAACTAAAATATAAAAAAGAAAACTTAGGAGTCATTATATAGCGCACGAGGCTTGTACTTTAACAAGACCCGAGGTTCTAATAGACTAGTAAAACATGATGATTACACGAAAATTAAAACCACTGCTGCATGTCATAATCCACATTTGTCATATCAACATTCAAGAGGCTCAGCCAGGAAGAGTATAAATCAAAGGCCAGCCGGTCTCAAAAACCTCAGGTAAGTAAGTAAATAAACAAGAAGGTTTATTGAGGGGAGAAACTGACAGAGTCAACAATAATTTTTTTCACTCACTTATTCATTCATTCATTCATTTATTCATTCACTTATTTTGCACCCAATCGTAGTTTCCTTCCTCCTCTCTTCCTGGTCCCAACCTCCATGCCTCTTTCCCCTCTTCCCCCTTTCCTAGTTCTCAGAAAAGGGGAACCCCCTTCCGCCAACCCACCCAGCTGGCATCAGGATTGAACTCATCCTCTTTGCCTGTGGCCTGGCAAGGCAGCCCCACCAGGGGAAGTGATTGAAAAGCAGACAATAGAGTCCATGTCAGAGACAACCCCCACTCTCCTTACTGGGGAACCCACATGAAGACTGAGCTGCCCATCAGCTACCTCTGTGTAGAGAGCCTAGGTCCAGTTCTATGGTTCTTGGCTGGTGCATCAGTCTTCACAATCCACCCTGGGCCCTGGCTAGTTGGCTCTGTTGGTCTTGTGAGCTTCTGCCTTTCAAGGTCCTTCTGTCTTTAACCCCACTCTTCAACAAGGCTCCCTGTACTCAGCCTGATGTTTGTCTATGAGTCTCAGAATCTACTTTGGTTGCTGGGTGGAGCCTCTCAGAGGACAGCTATGCTAGGCTCCCATCTGCAAGCATAGCATAGTATCCTTAATACGTCAGGGGTTCAACAATAATATTAACAAACCTTTTTTTTTAATGCACTTGGTTTTCAATTGTGGAAAAATCCATTTCCTATATAGTACCTCACGATGGAGCAATATATGTAAAAAAAAGTTTAAACTATGACTGAAGAATATAATGTAAATCCTGAGTCTAGAAAGACATACTTGACCCTTGGTTTGAGATTCTTGATATTCAACATCACCATGACACTATTTCTTCAAAATTAGTTTTAAAGACTATGTAATTCCAATTCAAATCCAAAGATTTTTCAAAAATGAGGATCAAATTAAATAACTGAGTAAATTAAACACTCTTAGAATTTGTATAGAGAAAAATGAGAATAATTTTTCAAATAGTAAAAAGAAGAGCAGTTATCTCAAAATATTAGAAAAAAGAGCTATAATATGCATGATAAAGTAGTTAATACATATTTTTGTCTTTAAGAACTCACTATGTACACCAGGCTGGCCCTGAACTCACAGAGACCCATCTTCTCTGCCTCCTGAGTGCTGGGATTAAAGGTGTGCACCACCATTGCCTGGCTCAGCGCCCTTTTCTTATTTTCAGTGTTCTTTTCAGTGTACTCTGACTAGTCAGATACTGAACCCACATATATCCTGTTTAAAGTTACTTATGTAACCAACATTCTGTCTGATTTTCTACTCCATCTGTATATGTGTGTGTATTTCTCTCTCTCTCTCTCTCTCTCTCTCTCTCTCTCTCTCTCTGTGTGTGTGTGTGTGTGTGTGTGTGTTAATGTGTGCTGGTGGAGGCCAGATATCAGCATCGGATGTTTCTGGTTGCACTCCACTTCATATTTTGAGACAGGGTCTCTCACTGAGCTTTGTGCTGGCCAATAAGATCTTTTTAAAAAAAGCTATTTTTATTATTTACATATGTGTGTGTGCCCGAGTGTGCATTTGTGTCTAAAGAAGCCCACGGAAGTCAGAGGATGATGTTGGATGACTCTGGCCTGGAGTAATAGGGGGTTGTGATTTACCAAGGGGGTGTGAGGAGTCGAACAGGCGTGTCCTGCAAGAGCAGCAAGTGCTCTTAACAGCCGAGATAGCTCTCCAGCCCTCGCATGAAAATGACTAACAGCTCAGCAGAAATTAAGAATAAGATCCTACAGAGAGGAATGATAAATGGCCAATGAACATGTGAAAAGATGCTCAAATTTTATTAGTAGAAAAAGAAATGCCAACACAACTAAAGTGAAATGTCATTTGTACCTATCAGCATTCTGTCTCTTGCTAGTGTGGGGGAGAAGGACATGTCGTTAGAAAGGTTTTGTGTAGGAGGCAGTTTTGAGCTAGGCTGGGTTTAAAGGGAGAGAAATTTGCTCAAGAGGAAAGCCCTGAAGAAAGGCAGAGAAGGTGACTGAGGACAGCAGTGGGGCCCCTGAGTCAAGGGTATTGGTTATAGCCATAAAAAGGAATGTGGGAGGATTGTTAATGAGATAAGGGTCAGTGTTGTATTAATTTGACTATATGACATTACTTACAGAGCAGAATAGAAATGTGATCCTTTTATATAATATACTAGCACATGATGTTACATTTTTTATATTAATATATTTTCTCAACTTGACAGAAATCTAGACATACCTGGGAAGAGGGGAATCTCAACTGAGGACTTGCCTCTATCTAGTTGGCCTGTTGGCATGTCTGTGGGGTATTTTCCTGATTGTTGCTTCACGAGGGAGGGCCCAGTCCTCTGTGGGTGGACTGTCCCTGGGCTGCGCAGGAAGGCAGTGAAGTAAGTCAGAAGAAGCAAGCCAGTCGGCAGCACCTCTTCATCCTTCCTGTCTGCATCAGTTTCTTCCCTGACCTCCCTCGGTGATAGACCATTACCTGGGAGCTGTGAGATGAAGTAAACCCTTTCCTCCCCGGGTTACTTTTGGTCTTGGTGTTTTTCACAGAACCATTCAGTTTGCTGTCTTAACCATTTGAAGTTCAATGGTATTAAAAGAATTCTTAATGTACTACCACCATCACCACCCATCCAACTCTTCATCCTGTAAAATTAAACTCTGTAGCTGTTACTGAATAATGACTCGAGCCCAACTGTTACAGATATGATGTGCCCTATCATCAAAGCAGTAAAAAGGAAAAGTGATTCCTACATGTAACTACAGTGTGTGTGTGTGTGTGTGTGCGCGTGTGTGCGTGCACGCGCATGCATGTGTGTTTCAGTTAAAATCAAAAAGAACAAGTCACTTAATTGCCACTTTCAGGTGAGAAATAAGTAATCACAGAAAACTTTGATGTGAGATGGCTTATGTAGCCATTTCTCCAGGTAGATTAAGATGTCAACACTTGCAGCCAAGGTTGGCCTCTGTGAGAGATGAAAATCCCGCAGGCCGGCTAGGAGTGATGTACAGCTCAGAAGTGTCCATGGCTATAGCAGAAGTGGGACGCAGAGAGAGGGGAAGTGCAGGAGAGATGCAGGAAGGCAGTTGTGACTTGTGTTAATTGGTTTACGGTTTCCCAAACACTTCCACTTAGAAAGCAGTTTTGTGGCTTGGAAGGCGTCTAAGGCATGTGAAACTGAGGAGATGCTTGGACAGCCCACTTAAGAGAGGCCTAACATGGCTATTGAAGCTCTGAGCATCCCTAATAATGCTTATTAAGAAGGCAGGAGAGCTGGGAATTGCTTTGGGTTTTATGTGTATGTGGGTTGGTGCCTTCGAGAATGCGTAGAGGTTAGAGAACAAATCCCACAATGTGGGTCTCAGGGATCAAACTCAGGTCAGCACAGCCTGGCAGCCAACACCCCAACCCTGCTGAGCCATTCTACCTATTCCCTCCCTGACTTGTTATAACCCCATCCTTTTCTGTGTATGGAAATTTTCTTGAGCCACACAGCAGATTACACAGAAGCAGTCTAGTCCCCTTCGGTGCCTAGGGAACTTGACAGAGGAGCAGGACTCCTGGACGACACTACTGGCCCTGTTGCTTGTTTTCTGAGTGACCTTGGGCATGTTGCTTTGTTTCTCTATTTCTGTAATGTTGCTGTGATGGCAGAAG